ATTTCACTGGTTACCTGTGTACTTCAGCGGTTATTTAATGGTTATTTAATTCGGAGCATTTTATTGAACAATATATTATGTACATGGTACATGTATTTATTCATGTAGTACTTGTCTATAAAGTATTTTTTTTGCTTTTTGTTTATTATCGTTTAGTAAATATTGCAAACAAACAATTCGTTATTTGGTAATTATCGGGTATTTACAGCATTCAACTAAGGGTGCAAATACAGTTTCCGTAACAAGTAGAAAATTATGTTGTGAGAACATTGTATCATTCGATTGTATAATTATCGGACAGCGTTAGTCTTGTACTGATCCTAATAGAGCGCATCCCGATATTTCAATTATAACAGTTTGTTATAACCGAGGAAATTTACATGTTTTCCGTCATTTGGGACTTTAAAATATGGTTCGTTATAGCCAAAAAATTCGTTATAAGCGAGTACGTATTAAGCGATGTGATTTAATATAAAATAAAGAAGGAATCGGCCGGGGATGTCATATTTAGTTCGCTATTAACGATAATTCGTTATAAGCGAGTTCGTTATAAGTGGAGTCGACTGTAGATGGTAAAAGATCAAAAGGGAATCAAAGTAAATACATTGATCAAACCCATAATGGTGAGGCACAATTGAGTCAAGTGTGATAATTCTATTCAACATTAAAGACATATAGTCTACTCCTATGTTAATGCACCCAAGACAATGCCAATACAAAATAGGGAAATGTTTCTATAATAAAAAGAACTATATGTAAGTGTATATCAAAGACTAGAATATGAGAGCATTATTTCATTTCTTTTAACACCGCATTGTTTGTTTTTATGTAATATAAGTTTATAATATAAATAATAAAACCAACATGTATTTCTTTTATATAAGTTAGATGGCACTGGCGTGCTTATTTTCTTTCTTTTGGTTATACAATGAAGTTGATACATAACATTTCACATTGATTTGTAAAGCCTTATACCTACTAGCAACAACAACAACAACAACATATTTAACAACACTCATTGGAGAGAAAATATTAGCAACATAAAAACAACATCAAAAATAGTTCAACATATAGTAAAACATTGAGATTCCATATATGTATATGTAAAATATTTATATATTATGTATATCTATCATTTACAATTTGAGAAAAAAAAAGTCATAAAGCATTTAATACAAAAGAACCCAAACAATTGTATATAAATAAAACAGACTATATAGCATTTCAACTCTTTTAGAGAATATTGCACATTGTATGTCTGTTAAAACTATTATAATATGAGGTGACTAGAAGAACAAAACAAGATCAATCAATAAAATAATAAAATTAATTTACATTGCACATAATTTTCGCACTCATTAAAACTAAGCTTGCCAGTAATTCTCAAAAACTTGTAGACTAGACATAATGATTTCACATAAAATATTTCATATCAAAGCCATAGAATGCCATTTTTAATGTTTAAGGTAACTTCAAACTACATGTACCTTTTCAAATCAGAAAATGTAGCTTGCTATAAAATAATATGTATTCATACAAAAAACTTTCTAACATAAATATTGACATGTTAGGCCATTATCTTCAGCCGTAAACTGTTGAATTAGGAAAAATGGAATTGCTCCGTAAAGACTAAAAATATCTGGTTCCAGCAGGCTCATGGCTATGTTCGTTTGTTTACCTGATTTGTAAGCAGGTTCAAATCTCGGCATTCAGTCCACCTAACTGGGCTTTTCTGGATAACAAACAAGTAATTTTCAATCCCCCCCCCCCATTTTCTTCAATCATCAGTGAGAGACAAATGACCATTAGACTAAATGTTCATGATCAACTGTCATGGAGAAATTTCACCTCGCTCTTGAATCAAACTGCTGACCCCTGTATCATAAATCTGATGCTATCCCTTTTCAGCTATGCAAGCTGAAGGGTTCACGGTAAAATCTACTGGCCAAATAAATAGTCTTCTGTATAATAAACGAACAATTTTTCATTGAATTTATTTTGTATACAGAAACTCTACAGTAAACCAGACACAACATTCATTCTTTTTATTTTTAATGAAACGTTTGCACCACTGATCCTAATACTGTAAAAATACTCTATAACAATTATTGTCAAACATATTTATGATATATAGAAGGTCACATTGACTATTCATCTTATAACCACAAACTTTTAGGCTGAAAAAAATATCTGGTTCACATGCCTTCTTATGTAATGTAATAAATAGTTTGAGACAATTTTACAAGTAAGACAAAACTTAACCCAACTAAGTAGAAGTGTTTATATGTAACTTTTATCTGACCAAGTACAATGTATTTAATTGACCTGCACCTAAAGTGATAGGGCCCTGGAAGAATATTTCAGTTTGGTCAAAGACCTCTCAAAACTTTATGAAAAGAAATCTGTTTATTGATAAATTTTCCTTCTTAAGGCTTGAAATTCCATAACAGATGTCAATATCTGTTCAAAAAATTCCAAGACAAATAACTTATAACACTTTGAAGTCAAATTGGGCAATGACTAGATATTCTACAAATATAGTTACTGAACACAAAATTAAAATTTACCCTATAAATCAGCTGACAATTATTTTATAAGACATAAATCACACGGACAGCATGTTATATACAGATATAAATCAACAATGATTCTGTAAATCAAAACAATTTCTTTGATTTAATGACTAGGAAAGTGACAATATGTTTACCATCTGGTTCATCTTGACCTTTACAGGTTACTGAAAAATCAGTATTAATTGTCAGGCACTAATTTTCGTGGTTTTCGTGGATAGGTCAAACCATTAATTTAAGATCAAACAAAATTTACTTTCATCTGCTGTAAGATTACTTTGCATTAAATAATTTTTGCATTTTACTTTTTTTTTGCATAAAATTTAAGACAATCCACTAACTTAAGAAACCATCAAAATGTCCTTTGTGAGAAAACCACGAATATGTTCACGCCCGCGAAATTAAGTGAATTCACAGTATAACATTGATATAACTGATCATCTTTCATTACCTGCCTCTAAAATGTTACTAAGTATTGTACTGTGATAAATATTCACACATATCTATCATTAGAAAAATACATCAATCAAAATAACAACATTAAGTCATTACATAAATACACAAACGGGGCTATAAAACAAGCCATTATAATAAATTATGTATCAGAACACATTGTCTTTATAACTGTTAAAACACTATCAAAATGTAGTTCTATAAAGTAATCAAAGAGAGAGCTTCTTTTTTATAATGTACAATATTCAAAAGTTTAGTACAGATTTCAAAAGAGTGGTAAAAACATTAGCCCTCTTATGCATGTGCAGTATTCAAAAGTTCAGTACAGATTTCAGAAGAGTGGTAAAAACATTAACCCTCTTATGTATTCAAAAGTTCAGTACAGATTTCAGAAGAGTGGTAAAAACATTAACCCTCTTATGCATAATGTGCAATATTCAAAAGTTCAGTACAGATTTCAGAAAAGAGGTAAAAACACTAAACCCTCTTAGGCATACAGATGTAACAATTAGTTGAAATAAAACATCTTCTTATTAATGTTAATTTAAATCAGTTATAAATGTCATAGCAAATGAACAAAAAAAAATGAACAAAAAAAAATTAAAATTAACGTATTATGCAAAATTTATCAATTGACTGTGTATTGACAAAAAGATCCAAGAATGATGAATATCAGCATGGCGATGATGATTATGATGATGACTACAAGATAATGATGATTGAAATTTGAATACTTGCAGTGTTATTAATATTCAAAGAGTGTAGTGGTAAAACAAATCTACCACAAAACCACACTGACAAAATGAATAATGTTAACTTTATGTTCATTTCTGGACTGTTCACTTTTCAGACAAAACTTATTTAAAAGAATAAATAGTTATGTCCAGCTCAGAATATCAACAAGTTCATTTAAAATATTTAGCATGGTAAGGCTTTATGGTCCAATTCTTGAGGGGAAAAAGTATTTTTTTAAAAAATACCACTCTTGTAATATTGAACTTTGATTGTTCAATTCCAATTGTGTAGAAGATTAATCATTTGTTTGTATAATGGTATTTTAGTCAGTCCGTAAGTGAGCCAGCTAGTTTGGAATGTTATCTGAGACATTCTATTTGAACTTATAAATGATTCCTTTATTGGATAAATGATGTTCTTTTTTTTTTATTCCAATGATGAAAATCTTGACAACATATTTTGATATTGACTGTAACAAATATTTTCATCTTAATAATTAATATGCTGACTTCATTTAAGTTAAACGGAACAACCTTTGCAGAGCAGCCCCCCTGTACAGCAACCACCTCTTTACAACAACAGTATCATTTTTTTTCTTTTCGTAAAGTTAAACCTCAAATTAAACTCAACGTATTAACAACAATATTTCTAATTTCGTAAAGTTAAACTTGAAAATTAATTCAACCTCTGTAGAGCAATCACCTCTTTACAACAATTCAATAGTATTTTTTTGTTTTTCCTACAGTAAATTTTCACAACATAATTTGAGCTGCGTCACGACAAAACCAACATAATGGGTTTGCGACCAGCATGGATCCAGACCAGCCTGCGCATCCGCGCAGTCTGATCAGGATCCATGCTGTTCGCTATCAGTTTCTTTACTTGTTATAGGGTTTGTATTATCAATTATATATGTTACAGTCATACTGTGATAATAGGTTTTCCTTTTTTCTTACCATTACCATACTGTTCATGATGATGATGATGATGTGGATGATTGATCAGGTCTACAATGATGATAATGTAAGTTCCAGAACTGATGACTATTTTTTCATCCAAATACTGATGATAGTGATGATGACGATGATGATGATGATTACTACTGGTCAGGTCTACTGATGATGATGATGATTCTAATGATGCATAACATCAACATGCTCTATCCAACAAAAGAAATGTGACACACTGTATCTGATATATGTCTGTCAGAAACTTTAACCTAAAAAAATGGAGAGAAAAAAACACCTTAAAACTAAAACAATATTAACTTTAGAACAAAAAATAAAATATCTACTAAACTTTCAACCTGCCGGCAGCAACAGAATCTACCCACGCAACCAGTGCAGACCAGATAAGCTGCAACTTCTATGCCGCCTGATCATGGTCTGCATAGTTTGCTATTCAGTCAGTAGTTATTAAAAAAAAAAATCCCCTAAAAATTATGAATGCTTTTGTTCAAATTGGAAAGATTGAAAATGTCAATTTAAATATAGTCAACATGGAAATGTTTTAATTCAAGGAGGAATAGAAAAAAAAATATCATAATAAGAGTATAAAATTTATTATCTAGATTTATTACTTGTATTTGGCTCTAATAGATTTTACTAGTCCAGATTACACAGTGGGCCTCTGTGCCTCATAATGTAAAATCCACTCAAACCAAATACAAGTCCCAGATCGAGATATCCTCATAATTACCCTATTATACAATTGAATAGTTTAGTTACATTGAAAAAAAATTCCATCATAAAAAGAACTCCTAACAGGGTTATGATTGCAGATTGGAAAACACCACTACCTAAAATGGGACTAAAAACATGCAATTTTTAACAGCTATCATATAAAGTTGAAGCATTTTATGAAGTAAGCCTTTAGTAAGCTTAAAGAAGGCACTGATACACAATTTGTCTACAAAAGATTACTTCCAAATTAAGAAAACTCTACTGATAAATTCATCAAGTACAAACAATACCACACTCCAGGTACATATAAGAAACAGTTTTACTGAATTTTAGATATCAATGTTTATCATTCTAAGGCAACTGTTTTGACAATATTTCTATGATGAGCAACTTAAAATCAAGGTAGAATTTAACTGTACGACTTTAATGTATGACCTTGTTAATTAAAATATGTCTCTGAAAATAGTTTTATAATAATTATATGGATGATAAGAACTTTTCCTACCCTTTACAAAACTGTACTTTATAAATGAATTGTATTGTTTGACAAATACTTGTTTTTGTGTTGTTTTTTTTAAAAAGCTTAATCCTAAAATCATTAAAGTTTTTTTCTTATAACTACCCCATTTTCTCTAATAAACAAGGGGCATTTCTTTTTTCAAAAAGGGGGCAATTAAGGTACAAAAATTGTCAAAATGAAAATCATTGTTTTGTTTCTTTTTCATCTGATTATATATACTGGAAGTACCAGTTTTATTAAAATTCATGCTAATTTTCTTAGATTTGTAACAAACTACTATCATCTAAGTAACTCAATTTTCTTTTTTTATGTAAAAAAAGAAACAAAAAAGGTTGAGTGTTAATAAGACGAGGGGCATTTATTGGAGAATATATGGTATGCACCTTCTTTTGAGATCAAATGTTTTATTTTTGATGAGCATTTCAAATTTTATTTGTATGGACCATTCAAGTTTTTTATAACAAAATTGTTACAATTTGTATGGTGGCTATATTCTTGTATATATACGTGTTGCATAAAAAGAATTTGAAAAAAAAAATCAACGAAATAGTAAATTACTATGAAAATACAATGGTCAGATATTTTATATCAATATTGTAGAAAATAATTTTAATAATTTTCCTTTTGAAACTAAAACAGAAAACCTTTCATGATAATGCTTTTGAAGACATGTTTGTACAAACCCCAAACACTTTTATAAAATCTAAGGATCTTACAATCTGATTGGCCATTTTTTAAATGAAAAAAAATCCTGATTGCATTTATAAAGAAAGCAGTAAGGAATTGCCATTGTTCAGGGGGATGTGATTCTTTAAAAGAATTATGGAAGTATAAGAGATGTTTAACATCTAACAAAGTCATTTCATTATTTCATGACTGTCAAACACTTAATGAATTCTATAAAGCCTATATCTGAATGAACAAAGTACAAATGCATCTCCTGAATTTTCTTAAAGGAGCTCCACTGAGGTCTAAATGCTTAAAAACATAAAATCTGAAATTTTTACTTACATCAACTGGGGTACTAACTACTTAAAATGAAAATTATGCAAAGGAGATAAATAAACATACTCCAAATTAAATTGAAAATCAATAATTATTGCTTAGCTCATTTAGAGTTAAAAGCATTTAAATGCTTTTTTTATTTTTGAGTGATTTTGCACAATTTAAATGATCATTCTGGACAAAAAGTGAGAGAGCAAATAATTTGAAATTTTGAACACAAGTTATTTTTCCTGACCAACATGTACCAAATCGTACACAAATCTCGATAGAAGTATTTTCAATTCCTTCTTGTCAATAAAACATCAGTGGAGTTCCTTTAAGTCAAATAAGGATATGTTAAAAGCAAAGATGTAAAGCTGCAGTCAGTATTTTAATTGATATAAATATATCCCTCTGATGCAGACGGATATTCTGAGGTACTAGCAGAAGACTCATCTCCAGAGTCTGACTTACTCTGAACTTTATGCTGCAGTTTACGTAACAGCTCGGAAGCAGGCGTATTCAATGAAAATCCAGATCCGAACAACCCTAGCGCAGCCGAACTGTCGTACTGCACTGGAGCAGAAAATGGAGGAACCCATGATGCTCCTCCTTCATTTAATTTTGAAGATGAAGACACGGGCATGTCTGCAGTCTTCTTGCTAACTTTCTCAAGAGTCTTATCCTCTGTACACTTTGCTTTCTTTGAGGCTGCGGCTTCTTCTTCTTGTTTAAGTTTCAACTCCTGCTGCTCTTTGATCTTTTTCTGTCTCAGTAAGTGCCGTTCCTTCACTTTATACTCTAATGTGGAATGAGGCACACCGTAATAACTGCCAGCACGATGCACACTCATTTCACCTCGCTGGACGGCTTTAACGGCCTCAGTTAGAAGTTGGCTATTATACTTTCTGTATTGGCCCCTTTTTGGACGAGTTTTCTTTGTCTGAGAACTATTAGCAGATGAGGAATTGTTTCCAGTCAACTTTGAATAAGACAATGTATTTGTTTCTTTCTTCGCCTTCTTGGCAGGACTAGATTCATCAGGAGCGGAAAAGGCTGACAAAATAGTATCCTTTGCTTTCTGGTTCTCGATGTTCGAGTTGGACCCAACAAGTCCAGAGAAATCTGTTGATTCTAGTTTACATTTCACTTTTTCAGATATTGTCTTCACAATGATATCTTTCAGAGTATCACCAATTCTCGTGTTTTCATACTTGAACAAACTTTCAAACGCTTTTTTGTCCAGTTCTTCAGAAGTAGCGGCACTTTTTTCTGTTCTTGCTGACTTTTTGATAAACTCTGGTACAACTATATCAGAATCAGGCGAACTGGACTCTCTTGTGTTTCTGACCGTTGGAAATGGATTCACGTTTAGAGCCTTGTACAGTGCCGACTGCATCAAGGCATTGGTGTCTAACAATTGATCTGAGGGAACTTCTCTCTTTATTTTCTTTATGGGAGGCGATGAGGCGTATTCCAGAGATTTCAACAGAGATGCATGTGAATGAGATAGAGAGTCGTGCAGACTTAACATTTCCTCACATGACTTATTCTTATACGAACTTCTCTCTAGTTCAAGTCTTTCCTGAGTGAGCTTTTTAATCAGTTCATATTGAAAAGGCTTTAATTTATGATGTGTGAGTGCTTTCACTTTGTAATGATTCATGGACGCTTTACTAAGGTTATGCTTATGTCGTACAGTCTGAAGCTTCTTCTCCCACTCAAGCTCATGTGTATGAGGAAGAATGAACATTTCTGGTTTGATGATGTATGGAATGGCTATAGGGGCAAGGTACTGGAGAGTTGACAGCTGCAGTAAGTCTGTTAACTGAAGTATACAAAGACAAAAAAACATGAACTATTATGAAACTGCTTTTTATCTTATAAGTAAAACATAAGATTTAGAATTAAAACTATCACATCAACAATACATATTAACCACACTTGGATGTTGTTGAGTTTTAAGTCACACTACACATGTTACTGCAATGGTCAAATGGTGACTTTCAAGCTTTACCAGTGGAAGAAGACCTCAGGAACCTTTCAGTGCATTATTTCATGCTTGAGGAAGCACCTAAGTGTAACTACAGGCGTTCTGTTTCCTAGCAAAATTCCTCAAATGAAAAAATGCAAAGGTCCTGGTGGGATTTGAACCACAGCAGTGAGGGGCTAGTGGTTTGGAGTCAACAACCTGACCCACTCGACCAAGGCTGCTTATACTACATTTGGCCAATGAACTATAAAAGCAATTTAACATTCCTGACCTGACTCACTTATATAAACAGACAACATTATTATTCAAAATAAACTTTTTATAATATCTACAGATATATTGGAAGAAAAAAGCTGATATTCCATCAATAACTTCATTCTTACTTAAAGCAGCACACTTCCAGATTCATGCTAATTTTCATGAAAATTTTTAAAATATATTTAGAAGATAATATAATATTGTGACACAAACAAAGAAAGTAATTTACACAGAAAGTGCTTCAACACTCTGACTTCAAGACAAGCACAGTGTTTCAATAAGCTTATAGCTTCCAACACAATCAAACTAAAATAAATTTGTATAAACCAAGACAAGCACATGGCAAACTTGTCAAATTTTGGCATTATGGGCATTCTTCTAAGAATAATTAATGTAAATAACTACATAACATACCAATAATGGATTATCATGAGTATTCAGTACTTGAGGTTGTTGTTTTTTAGGCAACAAGGCTTCATTGCTAGAAGAAACATCTTCTTCTGTTAACTGCACGTTGCTTTCAATTGTATCCATCTTGAAAATTTTGTTGCGTAATGTTGAGCGTGGGATGCCATAAAGTGAAGAGGCTCTGCGGGTACCAAGTTTACCATTACGTATCTCCGATACTGCAGCACACAGGTCATCGTCAGAGTAACCTTTCTTGCCAGTACTTGATGTACTTGTGTCTTTCTTCTGTTTGCTATAATACATATGTTATGAACTTTAACAATCATCATCACTTAATGCTTACAGACTTAAACAATGTTTGCTAGCAGAAGTTAACAATCAATATCACTTATGCAAGCACTAAGACAATTTATACTTGCAGAGATAAACAATCTGCATTACTCAAACCAGCAAACTTAAACCATCTACATAACTAACTCATGGTAGCAAACACGTATTGTTTTTAGTATGATTTAAAAAAAACCAAACAAAAAAACTTGATTATATTTTTCAAAATTGTTTTTTTTTCAGAAAGTTAAGAGTATACAAAGTCTCCTTTTGTTTGTTTACATTGTGACTTTGTTAAAGTCTTGATTATTCGATTTTTGAAATTGATAAACCTTTTGTGAGAGTAAGGACAAAATACTTGTAGACAAACTTACAAATATCCTGCAAAATATGTAACAGGGATTTCATTTTTATCTGAGGCAACAGATGTGCCAACAAAAACAGCTGATATGGGGGTTATTCTAATCTACATGCTGAAAATATAACTGATTTAACAGCATTTCAACTGATGATATGGATCGCCAATCTGTTAGAATGAAAACCCTAAAGTAACTCTGCAAATTAAAAAAAAATCAAGTTTACAAGATTTACCTTCCTGCAGCAACACTCGGAACTTTTAGTTCTATGTTGAGCTTTTGTGGCTGTTCTTGCGCAGGAGGCTGTGGCTCGGGTTCATTCACGGCTGTTTTTATATCACTGAGAATTTCTCTGCCATAATCACTTGTATAAAACTGAGGCAAGAATGGCAGAACGTCTCCTAGATGCCGCAAACCTATTGAAAGAAACAATTAGATTTATAGATTATATTTTGATTTCATTCAGATACTTTATTCATATTAAGAGAGGTTTTGAAATATAAGTACTGTATATCTGTAGATTGTTTTTTGTTACCTTCTGGAAGTGTGCTGCTTTTCAGCCTTACCTGTAAGTCATTTGATTATTACTATTTCTATATTAATTGCTATAACTGAAATGCTATAGACATGGACTGACAAAAAAACCCAAATCTTTCATTTCTATCCCTGCAATGATGCTACCTTCTGTTGACACTGTGTATATACATGTATTTATTACTGTTTCATGTACCATTGCAAATTTTGAAATTTGTTGAGTACATTTGACAATTAATCATACAATCCAAAACTGTAATAAAATCTTACTTGGATGATCTTTTAAAATTTTACCACCATCTTTGGACTGGGTTTTCTCTATGGCATCCTGAAATAAACAAATAATGACATATAACATTCAAATTGCTTGTGGGAAATGACATTTTATTTACTGAAATATTCCATAATTACAAGTACATGTATCATGGAATATTTTTGTGAATATATTTTGTCATAATATAATTTTGCTCAAGGAAATAAACACATTTGTTTAATACAGGTTTTTGGAATAATTCTGTTTCAAAATTAAAAACAATAATTTGTAAACTACAGGCAGAAGATATATAGCTTTATACACTTGAAAGGAAAGTACAACTGTCTATTACAATACAAATTTACTCACAAACAAAAGTTGAATCCTGTCTGCACAATAGAAACAGTTTTCCTCTGGTTCCCAGTCATGAGGCTCTGCTGGTTCCAAACCTACAGATGACAAATATTCATTGTTTATACATGTCTTAGAGTGTTTGAAATTAGCAGTAGTCTGATAGACCCTGACTACTGAATTTCTCCTCGGGCTACCAACGCTGAGCAGGCTACTGTATTTTCAGAGGCAATATAAACAACTGTTTTGAAAAAATGAATCGTGCTAGTGAAATGTCTTTCATGCTAGTGAATATTCCAATCTGGTAGTCTGACCAGCCTAGTGGATTCAAATTCGAATTTCTTACACTGCTCTTAACCTTTTTGCATGTCATTGCAAAACAAACTGATTATCATCAGCTCTTAAATAATGCTATGCTTAAGGATCTGATGATGACCAATACATGGCAACCCTCTTGTGACCTATATATCAACCAATCAGTGCTCATCTTCGCATGTTTGAATGTGGATCAGTTTTTGTATTTTTAACAGTTAGAAAACCATAAACCTATGCATGATATTCATAATTTCAAGATAAATGTACATGTATTACTGGTGAACAATAATGGCGACAACCACCTGTTTTAGAAAAATGATCTTAAATCAATGCTTAAACACCAAAAATAATAGAATCTTTGGTTAGCAGAAAAAAAAATTGAAATACATGTACATGCATGCATTAAAATTTTTTTTTTCTAAGGCAATTTCAATTAATTACTTTTTATACTTCACCATTGACTTCACCATTTGTGAAGTATTTCAAAATGCATGAGCCATCTATGTCATGGATGATTTGATTGGTTTGCTTAAAATAGCCTAATTGGAAAAACCAGATGGGCTAGAAGGCGAAAATGAGTTACTGAGAATCAGATCTACCTGTACATGTAAACATAAGAAGATCTGAACTTTAGCCAGACATGTCAGATTGGTTGCAAACTAGCATAATTATATTAATTCACAGGGACATCTTTGCTAAAAAAGATAGAACCAGTTAGTTTCTGGTACCAAATGAATGTGACCTTACATTAAACACTGTTTTTAACTTATTTATAAAAAGTTAAAAACTATTCAAACTAAGACATGTATACATGTAATCAGAATCAGTCCAAGAATCTGGAGCCATTTGGGGTAGTGGTTGGCAATATCCACTAGCCCCAATTGAGGTTTATACAAGCCCAAAAATGTTGATAAATTTTGAAGTGGAATGTAAAGTCAAGAATAATTATTAAAAGTTGGCTAGTGAGCTAAATTGCTAAATTCAGTCTGTATTATTTTATAAGATATCAGTTAATTAGAACAATAAGGTATGTGGTGAAAAAGTACAGTCAAAATAATAAACAAAGAGCATTCAATGTTACTTACAGTTGAATGGCTCAAAAAGCTTCCTAACTTTTCTTCTGCTCCCGACATGCTCAGCAATAGTCTCTAATCCTGAAAATAGAATTACACATGTATATCAATTACAGGAGCAATAACAATGTACATGTACATAATCATCAACAACTATAACTATCATTCTTGTATCATAGTTTGGGGACCTTTCTGTTGAAAAAGTGTCAGAGTTAAATCGTATACATATACATGCACAGTGCGTTAACTGGAGTGCGGGTATCAGTTACCCGCACTCCAGATCATGCCCGTTGATTGGCTCATTTTTGCTGGGGTTTACATATTGTGACGGCAGAGAAAGGGAAAGCGGCAGAAATATCATATTCAGATGCTCGATCATTGGTTACTTTTTCCCGGGGTTTAAAATTGTGACAACAGGGAACGTGTTTTTATGTTTGACTATGATACAAAAGAGAAAGAACACCAAAACACTCGGCAATCTGATTTATACTCGGGGGCTACGCCCCCTCGTACTAATCAGATAGCCTCGTGTTTCGGTGCTCTTTCTATTACTTTGTGTCTGATTTTTTTTTTTTGCAAAAGGATTGCACTATTTCAAATAAATATATCATAACAAGTTTACTGGTAAATAGGGTAACCATAATTAATCACTCAGACTTGTAAATGAGCTGTAAATAATTTAAAACAATACTGCATTGTGCCACTCCAGACCAATGTCTTACTTATAAACACTTATAGTCTCAGTCACATTTACCTGCTTATTTTAGTGTAATTCAACATTTATCAGCAGATTGGCAAATGTCTCAGATACACTGAATATCAGACACCATTATGTAAATACTTTTTTTTGTATCTAAAGATGTCGATAAAACATAAAAGTCGCATTAAATACCCTAGCCAGATCGTCATTGTCACAAATGATCTTGAAAAATAAACACTTTCATGGAAATATTTTTGATGAGGTTTAAAATATAATGTCTCAGCAACTGCTGCTCTAATTTATTTCTTTCAATTTGATGTACAATTGAAAATATTGGTTCATTTAGGTACTTTCCATGGTGCTCGTTTTGGCCAAAGAATTGCACAATTCTGTGTTACTTTTGCACAGTTCCAGCTTCCTGCTTTACTGGATATACACTGTGTATACATACTGGTTGGGGAGATAACTTCGGCTGGTTGATAAACTCGGCTTTTTACAATTAAATCGAGTTATCGGAATTTTTAATCTAATCAAGCTCACCATCTCATACTATCGCTGGAATTCGACAATATCTGGACATTTTGTCAAGTTTGGTAAGATATTTAAAAAATAACATGTGCAGACTTTTACCTGTTTGTTTGCAAATATGCCTATCAAAAGTACGGGAATCCCATTGTTGTGCGCATGTGCAGCAGATGCTCATTTTGAGGCTCGCACAGGGGTATTTTTATATATTGACCGACTACCGGTAAAGCAGAGGACGTTTACGTATACATTTTGTAGATGAAATTCAGACTCACTTTTGTCTTGTTAACTCAGACAAAAGACTGATTACACAATTGTAATCTTTAAGTGGAATGGATTGAAGGACTGATGTTAAATGCTCCTTTTATATGATAATGTGTAGGTTGAATACCACTAAATTAATTTCTTCTTCACCCTGTTAAGCTAAGCAAAAATAAATTTGAATCACTAATTCTTTAACTGCATATTTCGTTATACGTTAACAAATGATAATGCATGTGTTTTTACGTAAAAAAGATTAATACAAATGTATGTTACATAGTATGTTGCATATAAATATCGTGTTATCATAGATATTCATTATACCAACGTAATGCTCAACAATTTTGGTAACATAAATATTTTTTATTTGACATAGATGAACAGCAAAGAAATAATAAAATGTCTAAACATGTTATTACGTTTTAACTTACTCATTTAAGAAGAAAAACAAAGAGTGGAATTATCTACTCGCGTGCATTAAAAATATCCTTTTTACGTGCCTCTTCCAGGGCCTCTCAAAATTACCCGTTATGTTTCTAAATATAACTTTTACGGTGATACGGAAAATCGAAGAGCTGAAGTTTATTATGGTGCAAGATTCATCAGAATACGTAAACAAATAAATGAAATATGCCCCCAAAACACTGATTTTCAGCCGAGTTTATCTCCCAAACCAGTATTGACTGGAAAATACCCAGCTAAGACAACCTAAGAACCACATTTCAGGACACCATTTAAAATATAAATACTAATGTAAATAGTTACACAATGTATTTCTAAGGCAGCAGAGATTTTTCTCACTTAATTGGGAAGAGGCCATTATTAATGCCACTTGATTTTGGGAAAAATTATTAAAACTGCATTAAAGAAAAATTCAATTGGGAAGAGGCCTTTTATCGGATTCTGTTATATAAGCAGAAAAAACACTCACACTGGCAGATATTGTCTATAGCTATAATGTCATGTTTGATAGAAATAATTGTTTTCTTGTGGACAATGTCCCTACAACAGGAAAATGATCCCAATTAAAATAATAACAGTTTTTAGGACCTAAAATTTGTAATTTTCTATGCAACATGTGTAAATTCCTATGTAAAAATGCCATAATTCTTAATGCTTGTTGGAAATTGAACATAACATGAGTGACTTGGCATTATTACCCAGATCATGAAAAAAAAACAAAGGGCTATAATTCTGAAAAAAAAAAATCAAATCCCAAAAGACTTCCTGTAAATTTGGGCAGCTATTATAAAATAAAGATAATGTTACCAAGGTATAAAGAAGCTATAAAATCATTGATTTTATTGGCAATAGGCAAGTGTAGTAATCGGCATATTCAGGAATCACAATGCTAGGTTACACACCCTAAACCCAGCCTGCTAAACCAGACTATAGTTAAAGGCACCTAAGCCTGGTGGCAAAATCACAAATAGGCACTTATTTATTATTTTGCCTATGTCAGTGTTAAGTTAGTGAATAGTGAAGGTTGCTTGCATTTAACACTGCCTTTCATATTAATAAGGTTGGGTGAAACTTAGTCAAGATATATTGACGTGCCAAAGCTAGATTCTGAGATATTTTTGTTCCGGGTCAGAATCTCACTTTTATGTAGAGGCGAGATATTGCCAAGACACAAAATAGCACCATATCTCATTGCGCAATACAATTGGTTGGACTACTAAGGTGAATCTGAACATTTAACATTTTGTAATGGTTGGGTCACCATTTGGCTTTGAGATTCTTAATTTATCTATTTTGCTTCCATTATGATTCAGTTTAATGTTGATTTATCATAAAAGTTTTGAGACATTTTGTTTTCTCATTTAAGCTGGAATATTTGCTTTTTGAATAGGAAGCATTATACAACACTGAACATATAGTTACAATAACTTAAATATTAAATTCAATTGTATATTAAATTGAAAGAATCATTTCATTTTATTTTAGAAGATATATGACTAACATGCATCAGTTTCTTGATTGAAAAGACTTTCAATATTATTAATTCCCATTAATTATTACTAACATGATACATGTATATAGATCTATAAGATATTCCCCTCAACTAATAATAATGTACAAAGTTTTAATATGTTGCATAAAAGTAACTGAAACAATGATTTATGCTGCAGCAGAATATACCAGCTTTTACTTTTTAATAAACATCTATATGCAATTAAAATGTTACAACTTTAAATTCATGATTAGATTTAGAAGAAATATTGATAGGTAAATCATACAACAACATCATATTGTCCTAGAAAATACATGTGGTTACAGTGAACTGTTATACTAAACTGGCTAATTTTGTGTAATTAATAGATTAGTTATGCTTTGAATTTGTTGTGATTTTTTTTTTCTGAGTTTTCAAAACAACCTCTGAACCTGAGGCTTTTTACAAGGGAGTGTAACTACAGAACAAAAATTGACTGTTGGAGGAGATTTACGATTATTTTTCAGAATTAGGGACAACTTTATACTTTTTTGAAAGGAAAATGGAAAACCAATAAACTGTAGAATTTTTATAGTCACTTAAGGTTTAATACTGGTTATAAGGACAATACCTATACTTCTATTAAACTTTTATTTCCCCATCATCAAAATTTAGGAAATTAACATCATGGATAAATTAATGATTTTTATTCTAACTGCCTCATTTTTTTTAAAACCATTGTACATTATTATAGTGTTTTCATGTAACAGATGTATATTATTATTATATAATTATATAGAAGGTGAAATAAAATCTAATATCATAAAATTCATCTATGTGCATTAAAACTTAAATACTATAAAATTTATCTATATTTTTCATCGCTCTAGGTTATTGATAAATTTATCTGAAAAAAAAAATAACATAGTTATCTTTTTAATCAAATTTATAGATGTAAATGATTTGGTATTGAATTTTCTCTAAAGAATGATGAGTCACTTTAAATATGCACCATAATTATATACAGCTACAATCTCATTATGTTATTATCCATTCACCCAAAACACAGATGCTTTGTAAACTATTGATTCTACAAAAATCAATAATAAAGGTGAGGACAATTTGATAAAAAAAATTCTCAATATTTCCAACTACATGTATCTATAAAACCAAATTTGCGTTTACCAGTGAACAAAGCACAGACAACTATCGGTAAATTGACCCAAATTTGGTGAATATGTCGCTGTAAGGAACATGTCACCAAGCAATCAGCCAATGGGAGCGCTCGCTTGAGAAGCTGAATTTCGGAGATGTAGCCGATCAATAATAATCAACATCTCAGTGTAAAAAGAACAAGGTGTGTCAATTAATACCTTTAATTTACATTAACAAAAGGTAAATCATTGTTCTAGATAACATTTCTCGATGAAAATTTCTCAAGAAAAGTTAATTTCTTGACGAATAAACAATTAAACAAAGATAATATTGAACAAAATCTGTTAAACTTTTGGTCTACACAAAAAGCCGAAAATTTGGGTTTTGACAATGAATCGAGAAAAAGTTGACAAAATAACTTTACCAAACAACAACAGAAAATCATTAAAACTGTTTGTACGACAGTGTAAACAATCTTACCAACAGCAATTGGAATCTTTTTACTCCATGACATTAATTCTTTTTTAATTAATCTTCTTTCTTGAAAACATCGTAAGTTTCCGCAATCAACCATGTTGACACTCAGCGACAGCGTTTCCCGCTACGTCACTAGATCATGTGCTCATACTTTCATGACGTTTGTCACATCCAGGTGTCAAACCAGGAACTGAAAGTAGACGAACAATTAAGGTGTGTAAAACTTTGTTTTATCGCTCTTATTATATTTTGGGCAGTCGTCAATTTTGTCAGTGTAAGATATATATCTGTGTACATCTTTTTCTATCAGGTTTTATTCTTTACCCCTTATCCAGAGCTAAATATTTTAACAACAAATAACTGTCCGACAGATAAAAAGACCAAATATGGATTTTTCTTTTAAGTTAATTAATTCGCAATCTCCTGGAATACACCCCCTATCTCTCTTTATTATATACAATAATTTATGTACTACGGCATGAGCCTACAGTAATTCTTTGTTGGTTTTTTTTCACTGTTTTTATATTTTTGTTAGTTACGTTCACAGTTTAAATAAAACCGATTAAAGCCATCTGGCAAAAGATTTTGACACTCTTTTAGTATTTAAATAGTCTGTATATGATTTTAATGAAAAAATATTTTTAGAAATGTATTTCAGGTTAGTGCCTGATCAAGGGCCAGCTTCACTTGTATATAACATACTCTTTTGTAGTTCAGCATGTACGTCATATTTTTTTATGTCTGGTTGTACATGAAATCATGGTAGCACTGGATGACTAAATAGAATAAATGCATATCATAGCAGACCATGCTCTGGAGGCATACCCTTTCAGATTTCTTTCTCTTTTTACTTTTTAGAATGAAGGGCACCTATCAATACCCTGATGGTGGTCAGTATAAAGGTGAATGGAGTGAAGAAGGCCAGAGAGAAGGCTATGGGGTTTTGAGATTAACTGATGGCTCTAACTATTATGGCATGTTCAAAGCTGGACTTTGTGAAGGTCTTGGAGTGATGGTGTTCAGTGACAACTCAAGGTAATTATAATCAAATCTAGAGGGGGGAGGGAGGGCGATTATGACCCCCAGAGATTTGAATAGTATGTTGATCTCCTTTTGAATATCAAATTATTTTTTTGTGATAATCGCTCAAATCCTTAAGTAAACGTCGACAAAAATATTTTGACATGTGACCTCCTCAATTAATGAATAAAATGTTACCCCCCCTTATTTATCTACGTCTAAGGATGGCCTTTTTTATAATGAAATTTTAACATCATGCATTTAAATTTTAGGTATGAAGGAGAATTTAAACAAGGTAAATTCCATGGTAAGGGTGTTTTTATGCGTTGTGATGGCATGAAGTACATTGGAGAGTACCAGAACGGAAAAATATCAGGACTTGGTATGTGCTTACTTATACATACATAACATAGTTTGTAAAAACTTATAATGGCCTCAGTGGTTGAGTAGTAATTGTCTTCATATTAAACATAACCAAAGTAAATTTTAAAATAATGATAATTTAAGCTCATCTGAACTAAGACAAGCTGTACAGTAACCAAAGTTTAAGTCAATTGCTGACACACTTTGTTAAGTTGCCTTATCTCCCTATATTTCTTGTCTGTACATTATCATACCTGATTTATAAGTAATGTTCAGCAAATTTAGCCCATTCGACCATTGCAAGCCATGGTTAGCCAGCTAATCCTTGCCAGCTGAAAATGGTTTGCAACCTTTGCTATTCAGTCTGTAAATAATTTTGATAATTTCCCTAAAATGATGAATGGTAATTCAGATTGAATGATGGGCAAGTTCATTTAAGATATTTGGTGTAGGTCTGAGCCAGGCCAGTCTGCACATATATGCAGTCTGGCTAAATGCTGTAATGGTTGATGCCTACAAGTATAGAGCCAGGCCAGCCTGCACATTTAGGCATTCTGGCTATATGCCTCTAATGGTTGATGCCTTCAAGTATAAGTCAGCTTGTCCATTTTTCAATCTGGACAAAACCATTCATTTAATTGAGGAAAAAAATAAAGATAATTTTTAATTTTTATTATACTGACTGAATAATGAACAGTGCAGACCACTATAAGATGGCACAGATAAACCTCCCCCTGATGTTGTCAGCACTAGTCGCATGAGTATAATCAGTCACAGTCACTTACCTAAGGGGTAAGAATGTAAATTCTTTTGTTTGTTTCATAGGACTGTTTATATCTATACATTTACATTTCAGGGCAAGTAACATTCTCAGATGGCTCACATGGTTTACCTAGAAACGAGGGCTATTTCAATGGAAACAAATTGGTGCAACGGGAAAAATGTCCTGAAGTGATTCAGGCGGCATTACAAAATGCCGAAAACGCAAGAAATCTCAAAGCATAAAAATGACAATGCACAGCTTAAAAACTCTACATAACCATGCCATTTTGAATGTATGCATTATATCATTTTGTTAGATGATGGACAAAAGGAATCCAGGTGTGACAATCAAGTGCTTTCTCTTATTATGTTGTCTTTTTCTATGCAATTTATACGACAATGGAATCTTCAGTTCTTCTGTCATCTATGCAATATGGACTACTACATGTAAAAGGGGACCATCTAATAGATAACAAATACAACAAAAGAAAACATGATACATAATTCCATAACAAAAGAATATGGGGACATGGACCTCTTTACAGCGAAAGAATGTTACAAAAGAAAAGGCACCCACTTTGTCTTTTTATGTTGCATTTGTACATCAGTTGAAGTTGATTTGTCTACATCTTCATAGTCAAATTCAGCAATCTATTTCCAATTATGACAGGATGGCTATTAGTCATGGTTTCCAGAATTTTTAAAAAGTAGCTTTGATTAATACTATTAATTTAATAGTGAATGTTGATGAAAATACTCCAATATGTGAGAGGCGGTTTGTTGGCAACCACTACTTGTCCCCATGCAAACTTTTTGTCCCATGAGAATTTTTGTAATTTTCTTTTGATAAAATACGATCTGCAAAAGTATTTAAAATTCAACTATATTCGAATAGGGAGAGCTATTGTTCTCACCCAGGTGTTAGGGTCACACTAAGTTCTTGCATGCTAGTTGGTACCTCCAAAACTGCTAAAGGGGACAGGTTTAAACTTCACACATTAATTTCAAACTTTCATAATTCAGCAGGGAAAATACAGCATTTATTTTGTTTGGATCCATTTCATATTGGTCTGTATATGTGTACCTTTAAATTATGATATAACTTCTTATGAAAACAACTTGTTTAGTTTATTCTCTGTTTTGATTGAATTAATTTGAACTCTTTGGATATTAACTCTTTGCATAAAATTATGTTTTGTTATTTGATAAATTTGTTTTTTTTAAACATTTATTCTCAGTATACTGTATTATCTAGATAGGTATATTTTTTTTGCCACCAGTATAAAGCCAATCCGTGCAGTTTTAACCAGGCTCTCCACTTTTAGTTTTGTATTTTGATACTGACATCCCTTAAACTTGAAATGGACTGATTCAAATTCAAAGCAGGGCAAATCCATTACATAAATTAGGGTTAAGGGTAGACATCTGGAATGGAATTTTTTGTTATCATACAGTTAGATAATGTTCAATGACATCACTGCTGCTTTCTTTATTTATATATGCATCTTGACAAATCATCACATTTAATAGTGCAGTAACAGATTAAGTCCTATTGAATTTTAAAGGAGTTAACCTATTACTGCACAGGTGATGAAATGGTTTCATTTTATTTAATGTATCTTAAAGCAACTCCACTGAGGCTCTTGACAGGAGGGGAATAGACTTTTTTTTTTCTCAAGATTTTTATAAGATAATGATTTGATGTAGGTCTGTTTGTACATGTACCAATAACTTTTGAGCAAAATTTCTGATATTTCGCTTTGTTTTTTTTTTCAGAATGTCAGTGATCATTTTTTTTGCTTAAATGACAAAAAAAGAATAATATTTTAAAGCTTTTCATTCAAAATCGGCTAAGAATGTACTAAATTGATTTTCAATTTGATTGTTTGTATTTTGATTTTTTTCTTCAATTTTTTGGTTTTAAGTGCTGTAAGTTATTGATCAATGTAAGATTTTCAAATTTAATGTGTCAAGGCTTTACTGACCCGTTGAGCTCTTTAAAAGCTGATATTTCATTACTTAAAGTGTTTTTATGATCAACATGTTTTTGTTTGTTTATATTATGTATTATGCATGTTTCTACATCATACAATATAAATATTTGTTTTAATATACAATATTGATATGTGTATCTTTTTATATAAAATAGAACTATTTTTATGAACTTTTATTGTGACTGAAATTGTTTTTTTGCATCCTGACATTCAAACATTGTTTTTATAACCTGGAAAAGAAAGGTTTATTCCACAGGATTAAGAGTTGTCTCCCTTTGTCCTTTATAGTCTTTCATGTCTGGTTTAAAACTTGAGTTCTGTTATAGAATATCATCCTTTGATAATTTAAACTGTGCACAGTGCAAAATGCAAGCCATCTTACCTTCTGATCACCGTTCAAAATAGTTCTAATTAAAGATTGTATCTATTTATTGCAGAGCTCTGCCATGACCATTGAAAGCTGAAAACTTCTTGTCAGAAATCTATCTTTATAGAATTTTATAGAACTGACAATTCAGTGGCCTTAAACAAAATACATTTATAGTACAATTTTCGTAGAATAACCGTCCTTTGAGAGAACAATATTTTAGTTGTTGTTAAGAGGTGTTTGTTCTACAGAGGTTAAATTTACTGTGAAATCTTATTTTTGAAAATAAATAATACTGTCGGTGTAAATAGGGATGTGCACTACATTTAGAGGGCTGCTCTGCAAAGGTTGAACTGTATTTGATAAACTCGCAAGAAGTCTTACAGTAAAAAGGTCATACAGTATCGTCAGACAAAGGCTTGTCCATAGATTTTGATAATTTTGTCAGAATCTATTTGAAACACCCTTTTTTGTCATAGGGCGTCCAACAATGAAGACTAGCTATATGTTTATCGAAAAATATTTTGTGGAAGCTGAAATCCCTTCTTAGCAGAAATGCAGTTTGATACATGCAATCCGTATTGAGCATGTTTCTTGTCGTGTGTAGCCATGATGCTTAGAAATCTGTGTCAAAAAAGTGTATGTTTACCCACAGTGAAAAAGCTAATATGGATAGACGATATTTCCATTTAATGTCGAGTCATAATAATCACACTTTTTTACGCAGAATAAAGCTATATTTAACAACATTCCGACTATTTAGCTCCATAGAAAGTAGAGTTATGACTGTATAAGGCATCCTTTACCTGGTTTAGTCAACATTCTTATGTACATGTATCCTAGATGTTATTCAGCACTGGATATATGAAAGAAATTAATGTACATGCTTGATTTGTGTTAGTGTTAGGAACTTAACAAAGAGATTAAACTAGTATGCGTACAATTTGTTTCAACATCATTCATGATTCTTATAATTTGAGCCGCGTCATGACAAAACCAACATAATGGGTTTGCGACCAGCATGGATCCAGACCAGCCTGCGCATCCGCGCAGTCTGATCAGGATCCATGCTGTTCGCATATCAACTCTATTACAAGTGGAGAAACTGACAGCGAACAGCATGGATCCTGATCAGACTGCGCGAATGCGCAGGCTGGTCTGGATCCATGCTAGTCGCAAACCCATTATGTTGGTTTTGTCGTGACACGGCTCATTTAAGTGTGGTAATCGAAATAATTCTATAATCACAGGAAATTGTTATTATTTTCCACAGACGAACACCTTGAATGGCATTTATTTCATATGGCGCCGATATCACACGGGACATCTTGGTAGAGACATATTTTTCAGCTTCAGTGAAGAATCGCATTGCCTTATATTGCCACTGCATATAGATACAAGATGCCTCATGTCCCCCCGATTTGCCCCATATATACTGTAACATGCCACACGTACAACAGTACCATGCTTTTGATAAAACATTTTATGCAACATTACCAATTATATTATTAACTTTGTTGTGTCGGAATTTAGTCAATATATTAATGATATGCGAAGCAGCAGACCAATCTTCCTAAACTTGTTTTGGTATACATTTTTTTCTTCTGAAAATTATCGAAATTCACTGTCTTTTTTTCTACTGTATATATATATATATATATATATTCTTTATTTGAGTCTCATCCATACATAATATAAAACAATTCAATGACATAATTTTACAAAGTAAAAGTTATTTATGTACGGCCATTCTTATCAGAATTACAAGAGACTATAAAAAATTTTAATCTAATGGAAGGGAGGCAACTCTGCAAGAATGTCCAATGTTACTTACAGAGTTACCTCTCTTCTCATTCCATATTCATATGCATGTTACAATTCAAAATTGATAAAATAAGAAACTATTGCTAATCTTGTTCTAAAATACTTAAAATGTTTCTGGTAATTTTTGCTTTACAGTAAAAATCCTTAAAATGTTCTCTTCCTTAAACCCGTAAAATTACACTGAATAGCAATAGATTCTTAAACTATAAAATCATGTAAATAAAATTATTTCGCATCATTGGAAAGATAAAAACCTATACAAGTAAAATAAAACATTATTCACATTTAAGTGACTTTACATATAATGTCTTTGCCTAAAAATAAAAACGATCAGTTACTAATTATTAACTATGAGTATGTTTACCATTTCAAGAGACCTCGAGAGTTTACAATTACCCTTGTCTAATGATTAAAAGTATTCTAATATTACTAACCATAAAATCAGGCTTATAAATACCCTGATTAGTACAATTTCTCAATAATATAATGTAAGACTCTCATTTTGTTGGATAAAAGTTTAGCAATTTACATTAACATTATAAGAGACAGTTCTCAGGAATATAACCAGTTAGTTCTACTTTTAAGAATATTGAAACAGGATTTTGCAGCACACTTTACAATTTCAGTATTGGAAAAAATGAACGACAATTTATTATCATCAGACAGCCTTAAAAATTGATCATTTACATTTTCTGCTTTGGCAAATAAAATACTGTAAAATAACCACTAAAACAACCACTTACAGACTTAAACAATTGACTCATCCATTCCATATAATGAAACAACGAGCTTTGTTAAAGTTTTTTGTTTGTTTGTTTGTTTTTTGTTTTGTTTTTTTTTTGTGAAAGATAAATTCAACCATTAAATAAAAGAGGGCGAATGATTTAACAAATAAAGCATCTTAAAACTTGCAGAATCATTGTGCAAATTAAAGCTGCATGCCTCTAGGCAAGCCAACATATTTTAAGAAAATCAACCTTACGTAAAATTTACTAAGATTTAAAGAAAAGAAAAAATATTCAGAATTCAAGAAATAATTTACATGTTATTTGCAATAAATAAATGTATTTGCAGTATTTTTCACCATATTTCTAATGTGTTACTTACGCAGTAAGGGCTATTTTGACATATTCTGAGCATTTTTTTCGTAATTTCTGTAGATTTTAAGAGCCGTTCGCAATGCGTAAATTACTTTCTTTATTCACTTGGCAATATTTTACCTTATAAATTACAAAAAAAAATCATAAAAATTATTATAAACCTTGAGGTATACTGCTTTAAGAACTAAGCATAAAAAAGAGACTACTCACAATTGACGATTCATGGGACAAATGAAAACATTTTTTATAGCAAAAGGACTATTACATACTGATATGGACCAACTTTCGTCATGCTCAAATTAAAGGCACATATTTATGCCTCAGAAACGAATAAAGTTTTTTTCATCTTTGCAAGCCAAACTTTAATTTTATGGGAATTAAATAATTGTGAGATAATTTGTCATTAAACTAGCAAAATGTAAATAATGTAGTATTTGGCGTCACTATAACTATAATTGTCAAAACAACAGACAAATAGATGGTTCAGGTAATTGGCCACTTTATGGAAACTATTTAAGAACAACAACAAAAATGAAAAACTTTTGAGGAATAAAAAGAAAAGGATTTCTGGGCATAATGGGCCTTTAAATACTTTGCTTGTTTGTGATTGTTTTGTTGAAGTTGAATTCACACGGACACTATATAAGGGTCATAATTATGACAACTTCCCAGCCTAACTTCTCCAAATCTCTCCAGAGGCGTAGCACGTCGCAGAGAAGGCACACGACAGGTCAAGGTCAAGTCATCTCAAGTACCAGAGGTGATTGGTTGACCTGTCGTGACTAACTCTGGAGGGTGGCGCTAACAAGTTTACCGCCTATTTGCTGCCGTCACGGAACCTGATGCTTTTCCAGTATTGTCTTTCCTCCATCGAACGAAGTACAGGAGTTAGGAAGATCGGCATGAAAAAGACGTCCCCGATGCGATTTCTAGAGTGGACCGGCATGGACGCTGAGATCTCGGACATATGGTTATTCCGGCGCCGAGCTAAAATAAACTTAAAAACACACTCCCAGCCTAACTGTTGAAAGAAGACACCGGAAGAACTACCGACCTTCCGTAAACTATCTGGATTACACATAAATTAATGCTTTTAAAGACCTGGCCGAGATTCAAACCAACACTTTTTGCGGGAACGTTATTTAAAGTCAGAAGATATTCCTTTATAAATAAAGTAAGATACAGCTAGCCCATTTGTACTTTAATTAAAATATATTTATAACAATAAAGAATATCCAATACAACAAACAAGTACTCGAGAAAGAGATGTAAATATATAAATATGATTTCAAAAATGCATTTTTAACAGGCCTTTAGCAGACTTATAAATTCGTCGACTTACACAATTAATTTACATTAGGGATATTATATTATGTTCCAGTACGAACAAAATAAGGCTTTTCAGAAGAAAAATAAATATCTGAATTTATTACATAAAGGAGATATTGAGAAATATTGATGAAATAAGATGCGTATTTTTATTTTCCGTATTTTCACTGGTCTCTCGATGTGGTTTGAAAATTATAATATTTCATACCACTCGATGAAAATAAAATCCCGTATTTGTAGAAAAACAAACCCTTTAATATCCTCTATGCATTTTTAATTTTAATCTCATGCACTTTAGTAAAAAATTTGATTAAAAAGATAAACAGTAAACTTCATTGTATATTCATCGACTACCAATGGTGGTGAATTATCTTGCACTAAGAATTCCTAGGATCTCAGTATGAATGTAGAAGAAACTATTGCGGTCATAACTCACCTTTTAGTAAAAATCACTGTTTAATACATCATATAACACAATGATACAATATTACATTAATGACATGATTTAATTCGATCAATTTGTTAAAATATATACAGGCACTCAACTGAGGTTTCA